GATGTGCCAACTTGGTAGTGAGTTGTTGTACAATAAAAAGAACTTTCTCTATCAAAAAATCATAATAATAATAATAATAATCTATACTAGAGTAAAACTTTGGCTATGCCATCTGCACCAGCACTGGCAAAGAAAGGTTTAGTCAAGTGACAAGTCACGTTGTATATCGACTCATCAAATCTCTTCCTATGAGCTGTGATCTCTTGAACGCAAGTCTTCGTCTCCATGCTCCAGAAACGTAGAGAACCGTCATGACCTATTTAGAGTAGAGGGAGACAGAGAGAATGAAAGAGAGAGAGAGAGAGAGCTCTTACTTCCTGACAATATATACAGTCCGTGTGGATCAATGGCTAGGCCAGTCACAGCGTCCATGTGAGCAGTCATAGAGTGGGTGACTTGACCTTTTAAAAGAACAAGAAAAAAATGAAAAAAAAGAACAACCACAATCAGTTCACTCTAATCCTCAGTTAAATATTTACATGCATACATGTTATATTAAATTTAAAGCAGCACAACTACATGTACATGTAAGAAAAGGTTTTCTATTAATTTCCTTTTGCTTTATCTCTCTGTTCCCCCCTCACTCTCTCTCTCTCTCTTTAGTGTATCTAGTGATAATCATACCGGACTTTGAGTCAAAGAAGCAAATGTACTTGTCCTCATGAGCAGTAATAACGATAGGGAGTGTGGGGTGACTCAGGACTTTGTTTATCTGCGTAGTGGGTGTGCCATCTATAATAATAAATATAATAATAATAATTTTAATAATAATAATAATAATAGTAATGACGAGCATTATTGCATAGAGGATATTCAGCTTTAGCTAAAACATGCAACTCTATAATGTAATACTAGGAATGACAAGAATTCTTAAATCATAAGGTCTAACATAACAAGTAGAACATGTTCATTCTGCATGTACTATACCATATTCTAATTAATGCACACACAACCTCCAGCTTTATTGTTTTTATTAAATTTATAATACTGCAAGAGTATTGGTTTGTTATAAAAACAAACAAAATATATTTTCATATTCAATAAGTCAGTATATTGACATATTTTACATGTACGTGTAAATATCAGATCTCCAAAAGGCGAAGTTTTTACATCAATATTTCAACCACACAAAAAACTACATGTACATACATTTACATGTATATCAGTACATGTACATGTTTACTACTCGTTGCTACTATAAAGCTCTAACGTGCTATCAGTTATCAAGTGCATTCTCTTACTGTAAGTGAGGGCACTGTCCAAAGTAACCACAGGCTTCCCAGTCTCCACATCATATACAACAACTTTAGCCGTAGAATAGCTAACAACAATGGACTCACCGTGAAGGAAATCAATACTAGTGGGAGACCCTAGAGCTAAAGAGAGAGAGAGAGAGAGAGAGAGAGAGAGAGAGAGAGAGAGAGAGAGAGAGAGAGAGAGAGAGAGAGAGAGAGAGAGAGAGAGAGAGAGAGAGAGAGAGAGAGAGAGAGAGAGAGAGAGAGAGAGAGAGAGAGAGAGAGAGAGAGAGAGAGAGAGAGAGAGAGAGAGAGAGAGAGAGAGAGAGAGAGATAGAATATATATG